CGCGGCGCTGCTTATGAATAAAGTGAACTGGGAATACAATGATAATTTATTATGATTCAAACTAGATTCAAACATAAATTACCGTATTATTGTATTTTTTTTCATTGATTTTGATTATTCGTGTTTATGTACAATAGCCAATAGCAGTATTTTTCATCAGCCCATTTTCGTCAATACAAGTAGCGGCCCACTGGAAAAATCCCGGTGTCCCGGTGAGCCTATTCGTGTCTGCAAATATTTTTTTCAGGCAAGTCTTTTATTGAAGTGAAATCGTAAATATTTAATCGTGTTGGAAGCAGGGTTTACAATATTGTTTATAAAACCGTTTGGGCAGTGCTCGAGTCTTGGTATGGAGGCAGTATGTATTGATCTAGAGTATTTTAATTTAACTTTCCATCTATTAAACCAGTCAGCCATTAGGTTCAAATAGCGTTGTAGATTAGCCAATGCTGTTACAAGGTTATTATGTATCGATGTTATGGCTTTGTTGTTTGTATAATCGGCTATTAAATTATTACCGAGAATAGGTTGATCAGAAGAGAGTATATTACATAGTATGGGAGAGAGTAGGCCTCCTTGAGTCACTCCAGCATTGTTTGAAGAGATATTTGAAAATTCTGAGCCAACTCGGATTTGAAAATGGCGGTCGGTTAGATATACGATTTGATTGAGAGAAAAAGAGCTGAAGATATTTTCGAAGTTTATAATAGACCATCGTGCCAAAGAAATGTCCAAAAATACACTGCTACAGTAATGTTTTTTTTTCATGTGAAAAGGAAATGACATCTATGACTTTATACATTTAGTGAATTATATTATATTTGAAACGAAATCCAAATCGTAAGTGAGGGGGTAAATTTTTGATAATTATACGAACATTCAATGTTTTTAGAATGAGTTTTTCATGTATCTAAAAAGAAGGGCAAGAAGCTTATGGGTGAGTCTATGAAGTCGAACAAATGTCAGCAAATTTTTCTACGACTGACGGAAGCCGTAGAGAAAGAGAAACTAAAAAATGTATCAAATTTAAAAATACTTCTTTACCTTTAAGATGAGACAACAATACTCTTCCCAGTTCCGATACTGCTATACAAAGCTAAATTATTTAAGATTCAGTTATCAAAAATTTCCAGCTAATACCGAAATTCTTCGATGAAAAATCTCCTGGTTATAACCTGATTACAGTTAAAGTGGCTTAATTTCCAGATTTATAGACATTTTCTCATATTATCATGTTTCTTGAGTCCGAAAAAATTTCGGGCAGAAAAATTGTTGGGAATTTCGAAATATTTTGAAGTACGTCGTGAAAGAATCACTCGAAATTTATTCGCCGTAAATGTGCGTTTCCCGAGAACAATAATATATCTTTGTAAAACTATATTCGTTATTCGTTATTATACTCTCTGAATCTAAAATTAAATAAAACATTATAGGTAATACATGTTCCGGCGGAATAGATAAATTATACCCACCTACGTGGTGGCATTATTATATAATTTTTTTAAAAACACAATAAATCGTATTTATTTTTGATTTCCGCACACAATAATACGAGTGTACAACAATTATTTTGTTTTGTTAGTAAAATACTATTATATTGACCAAATTAGGAATCATAACACATCGGCGGCGCGCGGCGGTGGCTTTGTTTTTTGGTCCGAAACCTGTACATCAGACTGACTCGGGAATGGCACGGTAGTCTGAAATTATAGTAACACACGACCCTAATTTGCTATAATAATAATAATAATAATAATATTATCCGAGAATATTCGCATAGGTATACCTATTTCCGTCACGACTATACTAAAATCCTACTACTTAAATAAAACGATTAATCAGTTTCCGGTATCGCTAATAAGTAATAAAGATTTCGATATAAAACTTCCGCGGATGGTTAGGTTAGGTTTACAGTACCTATTCGGTTGGTATATTATTATTAAGTTGTCTCGCGTATCGTAAGTGTATTAATTAAAACAAAATAATTTGAAGTGGATATTCCCATAAAATATAATGTGTATGGCCTTCATGATCGTGTTAATTTAGTACATTAGTACGATGTATTAAATTTATTTACATACATTTTTAACTCAAGTTCGGATGTCTATATAATTATGGCGCTAAAAAAAATTCGATTAAAAAAATTAAAATAATAATGAAGTGAACAAAACCCCGAGAATATAAAATTAATTTACCTCTTTACGAAACGATAAACAATTGCTAAAAAAAAAAACGATTCTAAGCAGAGTTTTGCTAGTCATATTTTAGATTTCTACGAGTAGTGATGTATTCGTTTTGCTATAATTCTTTGTTTTATTTTTTCTGTTTGTAAACAACTTATTGCTCCGATTTTCAAGTATAGTATAATAGTTTCTGAAATCTAATTGAATGTAGTTGGTTATACAGAGAAAGTTATTTTTTTTATTTTTCTGGTAGTTTTCTTAAAAATTGGGAAACAATGAAAAGTTAACGGCAATAACGGTTTTGATACTCGATTTGGTTTTAGACTTTGAGTGGAGCGACGAAGCTTATGATTTCATAAAGATGTTTATTTTTTTTTTCCTATGGACAACTTTTCCACCTGAGAACTTGTTTCGATTTTTGTGTGTAGCACCTTTTCTGGTAATCGATATGAGGAGGTACTTTTGGGTTTTCACAAAAGTTTTCCCAGCAAATGTGAAAAACCAGAAAAAACATAGGAAAATCCGGAAAAACATACAGTAAACAAATATTATTAAAGATAATATATAATGCCTATTTAATTATTTTACCATGATATGACATATATATTGTTGACACAGCATCACTCTCGACTGAATTCCGCTCAGGATCGTATTTTTCGTTAACAATGGTTAATCGTTGCTAACAAATATACATTAAATTACCTTTACTAGTGGCTGCACCCGTCCTCATTATTCTAGGATGTCTTTTTTTTGTTTTAATTAACTAAAAATAAACATAGAATCCTGGTATTTTCACAGAATTCTAATACTTATACTTATAGGGTATTAGACATTTTTAGACGTGATTAACTTTTCAAAACATTTTTTGAACTATTTAATTGTTTTGACCTAGCATAAATGTTTGAAAATTTAACAAAATTTAATACGAAATTTAAGTTGTACTTCGTGATAAGAAGAAAAGAAGGTTTATTTTTAAGTTTTCTGAGTAAAGCATCATAATACATCGTTAGCAATGAGTTACCGTTGCATATAGACATACATTTAACAAATCTAAATATTTACCATCTTAACGCCCTGCCTGTTTTCTTTTGTTTTCGAGGCAATCAAGAAATCAACAAAAATTAAACAAACAATTGTTAATTTCTTTATTTATTAAGAAAACTATTAAGAAAATATAAAAATGACTTCTTCAATGCACTAACTAGAACAAAATTACTAAAAAAAGTTTCCAAAAAGGTTTGGATTAGACCGAAAATTAAGGTCATTTGATAAACATATTAATAGTACCACAACGAAAAATGTATTGCTGAATTCGTGAATTCGGCAGAAAAAAAGCTGCCTAATTCACGCAATCAGCAAAATAATTCTGCTGATTCCGTAAACTCAGTAGACAAGTGTTCAATTTCACGTATCCGGCAATGTCGTTGCTTATTTCATAAAGTAAGTAAATTTTCTGCCGATTTTGTGAAATCAGAAAATCACAAATTCGGCATAAGTATTCGCATACAAGTATACGTACAAATATACGTAAACAGTGCATCCACGATATTTTAAACTATAAAATGGTATATGTATATCAAAATATGTTTTAAAAATAATCTCTAATCTAATCTGTATTTAAGATAGGAGGAAGGGTTATATTTTAAAATCAAAAATTTGTGCTTTTTAAGATGTATAAAAAAATGTGAAAATAGTGGCATGATAAAGCTTAAACCGTCACATAAAATACATAATGATTGAAAAAATACATTAACATAATTCACTTAATAGCCTTCAAGAAAATCGCTGGATCATGATAAATAGATCGCTCTTTACATGCGTGTATAAACTCGGAAAACTCGACTCTCTTAAGTGAAGTATAATTATAATTTATAATAATAAAAATGACTTACATACTAATAACAATTAGTCACAATGATTTCGTTTAATTATCCTAGTATATTTATTGGGCGTGTAAACATAAAACATATTATATAATTTGCCCACCCGCATATTATTTTATATTATAGGTATGATTACAACTTGATAATGATTTTGGTGAAGTATCGAAAACGAAACAATTCGTACACTACTAGGTATGTATAATTATATTACAAATAAATCTATAATACGAGTATATAAATACAAATTAAAACGATTTTCGCACACCGATAGGAATGTACTCGTAATTTACTGAGCTGGCATATATGGCGGATAATATATATATATATAACATATACCTATACTTATTTATACATATTTATTGTTTTCTGGTTTATTAAAACTTATTGGAAAAATATTTTTAATTGTATTTAGTTAATGTTCTCGGGTATCAATGTTTGATAAACATAGCCCCCATTTGATGTTTTTCCTACTTCAACAACCAGTATGTTTGACGTTTGAGTGTTATTCGTATAACAACAAATACAGTATACAATATGTCATAACATAATAAGAACAATCGTTAAAAAGAAATGTTTTTGTACGGTATATCTACATAATATTTTATGTATTGATAATATGAGCGCACTTGATATTAACTATTATGAGTTTTATTTCCCGTACAAATATTTCAGTATACTTACCACTTACTTGCATGTAGGATTATTTGGACGAAACTACTATATATCAAATATATACAAACACACACATACATATCAAATATATATATCGAATATGCGATGACAACCGTCGTATTTTTGAAACGTGTTTTAATTATTGACGGGAACGTCATTGCGTGACAGTGGAAAATGTAAACACACGACGGTTTTCCGCATATTTTGCATAGCTAATATTTCTGCCGTTGCAGTACAGAGAAACTGAACACGTTTGCCCACGATGGTCGTCTTCGGCTATTTTCCGATGGGGTTTTTTCCCCTAATAGTTATTGTCACGTTACGGAGCAACGAAGCTATCGACATCAAACCTGACCGAACCTCCGAACTGAACGTGGATGAACAGTTTTTGAAACAGATATCACGACACTACTGTAACCGTTTGACAGGAACCCACGTCGTACTATTGGCCGAACCGTCTGTCACGGCGCTGTTCTACAAGATTTTGCTCAGGTATTGGTAGCATAATAATATTATAAGAGTTGGTCCTGTTAAAAGTTCGAAATTACATAACAAAATTATTTTTTTAATCAATCCTGAAATTCAAAATACATGTCATGTTTACGGTTTAATGTCTATCTAAATTGGAGATTAACGATTTAATCATTAGCCCAATATACAAACTAATTATTTTGAAACCTTATTTTTGTTTTTTTTTTCCAGATCGTTCCGTTCGACGTTTTACATACATAAAGAGTTGACAGGAAATTTTTCAGCAAGTGACTATATTGTACTTTTTGTCGAAGACGAACGGTTCTTTTTCGAAGAGATCAATTACAACCGTCGGTTTTGGTACACTACTAAGACTTATTTGATAGTCAGCGAAAACGAATTGAAAACGAAAATCTTATGGTCACACGTCCAACGGCTCTGGGAAGATTTTAAAGTTTTCAAGATATCTCTATTGCATTCGGACAATTTGAACGTTTTGAGAATATTTGACCACAGGTTTTATAAGCACACAAATACCACTGCCCGTAAATTGAATTACGGTATACACAACACGAAAAAATATCCATTGAAAGCTGTGATATTTCCGAGAATTCCGTCTATTGTGCACAACGAACGAGACGGAGTGTGGACCGGACCAGACTGGTTGACACTGCAGGCGTTTGGCAATCATATGAATTTGACTCTGGATTTAAACATTTTATCGGAACCGACCGGATTTGGAAGGTTCGTTGTTAAATTTCTGTTCTAAAAAAAAAAAAAAAAATGAAATTTAAATTGTAACCTAAACGATTCGGTGTGCATTTTTCATCTTTTTTTCTTTTTACCTTTATCCCACGGAAGTGCAGGGAACAGTTATTCCTGCCTTTTAATTCCCACCCATATTCCCTATCTAAGGTCATCTTTTCATTTACTAAATGTACTCTCATATTACCCTAATAAATCTCTAGCTACTTTTTCTTTGGCATACGAAAATATTATACACGCGCTTACTTGTTTTACCTATGATTTTAAAATGGATTAAATTTATAATTTATTTAATAAAAATAAATATTATTTTCTTTATTTACTGATATAAAATTTAAATTACATAAAATAAAATAAAATGACAGTATAAGTACACATATATGTTACAAGTAACATAATTATTAATATACATTGATAAAAAAAAGAGGAAAACAAATATAGGTATAAATAATATAAATAGAAAAACAACATTTACAATGTAAACAATATTTAAATCATGTTTAACAGTTTAGTAAAAGTTAAAGAAACAGAATAAAAATAAACAAGATATAAGACGTATAAGGTTAATGTAATTGAATTAGGAATACAAGAGAGTAAATAAGATGGAAAAGGGAGATAAAAATGAAAATAAAACAATAAAAAATTAAAGTTAATAAGATAAAATGTTTGACAGATTAAATTATTATTAGTATTAAATCAACAAAAGGCAATAGTCGAACACCCTGACATATTTTGTTGTGACATCGTTTAATTTAAATTTATTTTCAGTTTGATAAACGGTACGTACACAGGCGTGCTGGCCGAGGTAGCCTACGGCAGAGCTGACATATCTTTTAATAGCCGTTTCATGAACGACCCGATGATCAACAAGGCGTACCGCTACAGCAATTCGAACGGCTGGGATTTCATATGTTTCGTAGTGCCAACGGCCGGCCCCTTGTCCAGATTGCAGATATTGTTGCAGACCTTCACCTTCGGCGTATGGCTGTGCGTGGCTGTCACCTACGCTCTGATGACCAAGTCGTTTCAGTTGTTCAATAAATTCCAATTGGTCGGTGGCGGAGGTGATCGAAAGATTTCTGATCCGTTTATGACCAGTATTCAAGTATACCTATTATAATATATTAAAAACCAAACACGGTGAATAGAGTTCGGTTAATTAAACAATTTTTCTTGATTTTCAATAATTTTGTTAAAATCTGAAGTTCAAATATTTTATAAAAGTTGCACACAAACGGAAAAAAACCTCAATAATTTTAAATAACTACAAGAAAGTAGGTATTTCACAAGTTTTTGAATGGAGAAAGCCTATAGTCTAATATTCTAATATTATACTATATAATATACAGTATTACAATCAATAGTCGTTTCTTGGTCCACTCTGCAGAATCTAAAACAAAATACAAATAATAAATGCGTTTTAAACTTGAAACTTTTGTTCCGCAGGTGGTTTTGGGCATGGGCGTCTGTAGTCTACCGAAGCACGGGACCGGTCGTTTGTTGCTTGTGTCATGTTCGGCAGCTTGTTTCGTGCTCGTCAGTTTGTTTCAGGCATCAATGGTAACAAAGTTGAGTATCGAATCCGGTCAAAAAGACATAGATACGTTTGAGGAACTTGACCAGAGTGGCATGGAAATCCGAACTTCATTAAAATCAGTCCGGGATTCGTTGGCTATGTACTCGTACACGAAATCGCTGGCGAACAAAATAGATTTGAAAAAAGCCCGACGGGATTACATGAAGTCAAAATTCGTATTTACCGCGAGAATCATGAGTTTGAACAGCGGATATGCAAATTATGTTGGCCACTTTCAAAACGACACTGTTGAATTGCATATAGTAAAGGTCTGGTTATGCGTTTTTTTTTTTTTTTTTTAATGAAAAAAAAAAGAACTGATACTGAGGTTGGGAGCGGCCACTGTTGTAAGTCAGAAGTTGGGAAGGTTAGGATACATAAGGTTATTTCATTTATATCTGTAAGCAACGATAAACCATCGCTTGACGAAAGACGATTCCGACTGCAGTTTGGTAGTACATAATTTGAATTGTAATTTTTTTTTTGTGACTTTCGTTTAAATTTAATTTCAAAACGCTTATTAAAAAAAATTTTCCGATGATTTTGGAAAATTTACCACATCTAGGTAAGTCCAATATAAGTATTATTACCAAGTTTTAAGTCTCTACATGTATTTATAACCGAATTACAGCAAAAAAACTATCAAAAATTAAAATTCCTTAAAAGCTCAAAAGTTTTGGTGATGATACCAATAGAAAGTAAATCAAAAAGGCAACAAAAAATGTGCCTAGTGATTTTTCAATTTAATAATTTTTTCTGGTAGAAAATGTCCTAATTGTTTTTATAAAATAATGAAATCGTGAAATTGTACGTTTCCCGGCGTTTTTCCGCGCTCAAGTTCTTTTATTTGAAAAATGGCGTCGAAAATTAAAAAAAGACTTGTATGAAAATAATAAATGTCAACTAGTAAACTAGTGAATGAAAAGCACCGTCTAGACAATTTGAGCTTTTAGAAAAGTTGCTACACGTAAAAATCTGAGCAAGTTTACTAAAAAAAAAATGTGTCCACAGACTAGAAAAAATAGAAATAAAACATTTTAGTAAAACCAATAGCTCTATCGCTATTCTCGGAAACTAAAACTGTTATTACCCGTAATATATAAATATTGATAGTATAGGATAGGTTAGGTCATTTATTATAATCCGGTTGTAGACATCAATATAGTTGTTAAGAATTTTTTTAATTTAAATCATGTTATTTTTAAAAAAGCATAACTGCATGCCGGTTTGCAGAATAAAATATATGCAGAGTTACATCAAAATATTATTGTGGCACACATTATATGTTACAGTGTTAGACCTTAAATTTACGCAAATTTTCACTTATATCCGTTATAATTGCTTATTGCGAATCACCACTATAATCAAGAATTGTTTTGTGTCTTTGTCTAATTACATACGGCATGCCAGCGTACAATATTATAATTAAATAACAAATTACACGTTATACTCTAACCGGTTAAAAATCATCCTCGGATTCTATAATTATATTCAAACGTGTCCATATTATAAGTCTGCAAACATGAAATATAGTAATTGCAAAAATATGAAAAATATGAGTCACGATATAAACATAAATATTTTAACATTTTTTAGATTTTGAATGGAGCGAAGAATTTATTGGTGTTACAATTTGTTTTTTTTTTTTGTGGACAACATTTCTACAATCAATTTTGCTCCAATTTACAATGATAGCACTTTCTGAATGGAAATTGGACTGGAGGGAGGTCTTTTTTTGATATTCCCCGAAGTTTTTTCAATAAATGGAAAAAAAAAACGTAGGAAAAACGAGAAAATAGATACAATATTAAACACATATTATTAAACAAAATATATATTGCATTTATAATTATTTTACCATTCTGTGATATTCATATATTATTGTGAGAAAATTCCTATTAAACAAAAAACAATTGTATGTAATTAAGTTTTGAAAGCTTTCAATACAGCAATTATTTAAACAATTTAAAAAAAAAAAATTAAAATTGAATGAAACTATGTATCAAGATACAAATTATAAGATAACAAAGGTTCTAACATAATAGTTTGAATGCAGGCGTAGACAAACTTATTCTTTAGAAGATCTTTGAGCGAAGTACGTTGAATTTCTGTAAATGAGTTTCACAATCGACGTATGTACGAGTATACATTTAGAAGAAATTAATATGTTCTCGTTGTGGCTATTCGTCCGTATAGGTATAGTTACTAATACATAGTTAGGGTTATTAGGTGGTTGGCAAGGAGTTATAATGTATTATTCATAATTAACGTAATTATCCGATATTTATCCGTTAATTATTAGTTATCATAATAACATTTATAATCATTATATTTTTTTGGTTTAAGTATTGAATTTTCCATGATCAAAATTTTATAATAAACACAGAGCTGACCATTACTATGTTTTCCCAATGCTAATACCTCTGTTAATATTAAATTACTTTTGTTTTTTATTTGTTCAATTGGATTTCGGATCAGTAGGCATATTTTTAGAGAAAAAATATGTTTGTCCAGTAACCTGATTGTATTATCACTTGGATTCTTTTAGATTCCGAGCGTAGCGAGTGAGATATTGGTTTTATTGAGATGTTTATTTTTTTTCCTTCTTTCTTTGTTTTAGTCTGTGGACACGTTTTTTCCTAATAAACGTGCTACAATTTGTACGTGTAGAACCTTTTCTGAAAGCCCAAGTTATCTAAATTGTACTTTAAACACGTCATTTTTTGATTTTCGACGACATTTTTTAAATTTGATCACTAAAATGAGAAAAAACGTAGGAAAACGTAATTTCACGATTTCATTATTTTATAAAATCACGGACGACGTTTTCTACCAGAAAAATAATTTAATCGAAAAATTACAAAATACTGTTTTTGTGCCTTTTTGATTTATTTTCCTACGGTATCATAGTCAAAACTTTTGAGCTTTGAAAGAATTTTAATTTTTGGGAGTTTTTTGCTGTAATTTGGTTATAAATACACGTAGCGACTTAAAACTTGGTAATAATACTTATATTGAACATTTTCGGACGACTTTTTTTTTTTTTAATAAGTGTTTTGAAATCAAGTTTAAACGAAAATCGCAAAAAAATATACGTCACTCCAAATTATGTATTACCGAACTGCGTTCGAAATCATCTTTCGTTAAGCAATGGTTTATCGTTGCTTACAGGTGTAAATGAAATAACTTTATGTATCCTACCTTCTCAACTTCTCACCTACAATAGTGGCCGCTTCCAACCTCAGTATCAGTTCTTTTTTTTTATTATTATGTTTTTACGTAAAGCTTCTGCCAAATTTCAACCATACAAACATTTCAAACGTTAACTATGAAGCATTTTAAATATTTGTCGCTTACGAATTTACTTCAAGGTAATAATATTGTAAACTGATGGGAGGACGGGCTTGCTATAATTTCTAACTAGGTACTATGATAGAATGACTTAGAGAAACATCAAATAACCGTTATCGTATTATATTATTATTGGGAAACTTACATTAAATTAATAAAAAAAAATTCCCGACTGAAAATTTATTAGAAAACAGTTCTAAATTTAAAAAATAAAAGTGGTTAACTGTTTTTGTGTCTTAAATTACCAGTTTAAAGCCCTGCATAATACACTAGGTTACCTTCAAAGTAGTATATAATATGGTATCATAGTTTATTGTTTAAAATATATTTAGAAACCGGGAAATCTGCACACTTGTAATGTGGGATTTCTTAACTTGTTTGATTTTATCACACATAAGATATCCAAGTGTCGCGTTTAATACTAATTGTATATTATTATACTGTACGAGCACATTTTAACGTTTTAACTATAACACTATTGTTGGGTAATAATAATAGTATAATAATAAATATATGAAATAACTTTCCGGTTCAGAATCTATTGTTATCAAGTAAGATTGCTTTAGAAAAACTCGTTGCACGATACCGTATTGAAATATTATACGATTTACTGTTGAATAATAAAAGTATATTTGTTTAAATACATTTATACAAGTAGGTTCATATAGGTAAAATATAAATTTAATTTATAAATATTATTCCGATAATTTATATTTGACTTGAAACAATTCACTCCATTTTAAAATATTATTATGATTCATTTGCACAGTATTTACGCAAAAAGGTGCAGGTCGAATATTTTGTTATACTTCATAATTATTAACATTTTTTATGCGATTTTGTGCCGCATCTACTAGTACCACTAGTTTGAACAGATGCAGGATCGTTATTCAGTTATTGATATATGCGTTTTATCATAAGTCGAGATACATAATCATATTTAGTTCGTGAAAAATGGCTTAAGTCAATATTGTTCTCAGTGTAAAATTATTTCAACTTGAGCCCTTTTGCACATACAAACACCGTCCAATTATAATTTAAATTTACGTACATACTATTACTATTCACATAATATTAGTTTAACTTATACGTCATATTATATTACATAAACATATATAATTACAAAAAAACAAATTAAATGTTAGGTTAGGTCAGATATAATTAAATTTTGTTGTTGATATTATAGATGAAATAGATAACATTTTTCTGAGATCGAAGATAGAACACACCGAAATGTCACAGTGATAGTATATTGTGACCACAATATTCTAATAAAAAAATATATTATGTTTTTCGAAAAATAGGTATATATAGTCGTATTAATTTCGTTAAGACTTTAGAGAGCTTATGTAAACAATTGTATGTTAAATCACAATGTTGTTTTAAAATAATAGCTTATGATAATATTATGTATTATGGAATAGTATGATAATATTGATAATAGTATCATACTATACCTTCAGCTGGACAACCGAAGCGGGTTTCTTGTTTTTCGATTTCCGATATTTTTTTTTCGTTTAAATTTTCCATGCTAATTAAACGTTTGAGATGAATTTTATACTCTTCGTACTTGCCGCTGCAAAATGACACGGTCTCTTCCAGTCTGTCGATTTTGTCTGTTAACGCCGCCAACTTGTCGGGTATACTGATTTTCAAAGCCGTTATTTTTACCGTGCTGCAGTTTCCGATTTGTTTTCTATCGGCCGCAGCGTTTTCGCCGTCCGTCCCACAGTCCTCCATATTGTTTCGGGCCCGTGAATTCCGCTCCGTGCCCAAAATCGACGAAATTTAATAATACGTCTTTCGAGAAGAAACAACTAGACACAAAACGCACGCGTTTTTTATTCGATTGAAGCGCACGCTGCAGTTTTTCCCGACAACATATCTATCGCGACTCGCGGACGACGAGCACCGCGAACTTTAACGGCGTTCAATTTAACAGAACGCTACAATATCGACGAACAACGGGTCGCGAGTAAAAAACTAATAAAAAAGTAATCGAATTCGGCTCTCGAAAAAACGAAGGGAAATCTGCGCGATAACTATGTAGGTACAACGATTAGTGTCGGATTATTGCGAGAAAAATGTGACATTACTGGTCGGCTCCGGACAATATAATCGATATTGTTCCGCGCAAAAACAATACCGTTTTCCGCAGTTCCGAAGTAATTTTTGTGTAACGCGCTGTGTAATTCGCGTTGTAGGTTGCCATTGCGCGCGATACGTCCGACCGGGGCCACGAAGTGTGCCAAGAACGAGGACGGCGGAGTAAATCGAGGGTTGTCGGTCGGGAAAATCGGCATAATCAATGTGCCACGAAGAACGATTATTATTTGTGGGCGAATCGGTCAGCGCATCGGTGCCTGCATAGCGTCTTTGACGATTCGTTCTTGAACACGGATCTCCGAAAAGCGCGACTAATTGTACACGAATAATGTATAGAACTTATACAGTTGTACATTATTTCGTGACGGTAATAAAACATGTTCCGTTTGAACGTACCGGGGAATTTTTAACCACGAGCTCCACTCTAAATCGTAATTTATTTGCAACTCTACGATTACGTATCGTTGCTTTGATGAAATTTTTTAATTATACCCGATGTTTAGACCGATTAAAAAAATTATTATGAAAATTCGTTAAAATAAAAAAAAAAAAACTTGCACACGCGCAACTACAATATAAACTGTGATCTCCGCATTATCTTTTTGTTTTCAAAATAAATTCTTTCCAAGATCCGCAACACAATAATATTTAAATAGCAATAAAATATGTTTCTCCTCATCCGACGAATTTGATAAAATATATTGATGTTTGATTTGATATTATGAATTTATTTCTTACCAGTTGTTCTACCCGGCGGCGTTGCCGTTGCCAAAAGAAATACAATCCAACAATGAACCAAGTGTCCTCCGTTTCTAGTAACTACTGTTTATTTTTACGTTTTGTTTGCGTTATCTACATTATTATTTTTTTTTAATATTTCATCCGCGTTTTCAAGGTAACCTATAAGACAACAAAAATATCAATAACCCTGTGTTTATACGGATACTTCCCTCAGGGGAGATTTTGAGAGGAAAATGAAACCTATGTTAATCGTTTATGTTTAACGATTACTAAGTATACATATCATTAAGATCAGTTTAGCGGTTGAAGAGTCCGTATAAGTCACGAACAGACAAACAATCATTTTAATACAACAACAGATATGCAATAGGTATACAGTATATCACGAAATATCTATATTATGATTTTATTATTTTTCAGGAATGTCCACTGAAATATTACGTGACCTATCCGGTCGCATTGGATTTTCCGTTTTTGGATCAGCTAAACGATATAATCACACGATTTGTGGAGGCGGGAATTTCGAACAAGTGGCGGGTGGACATTAAAAAATTAGAACAAGAATACTATAAACCATTGGTCGCCAACACGGATGTTTTGAAATCTTACTCAATGAATGATTTGTGGTTCGCGTTCGTTTTGTTGTTTAGCGGCTACGGCATTTCAACGGTTCAATTGGTGTTTGAATTCGTTCTGAAAAAAATACAAAAGAAAAAATAGAATAAGCTCTAGCACGGCGGCGTTTAATTCATGAAAATCGCTTTGGATGGCCTTTTCTATTATGTGCCAACATCAATAAAAAATGAGGAAAAAGATGCGGTCATTCTTTGCATGGGTGGGCCACTATTGTAGGTGAGAAATGGAAAGATAGGATAATAGAAGGGAATTTAATGTGTATCTGTACGTGACGATTAATCTTTGCAAACGAAAAATGATTCTGAGCGGAGTTCGGTTATACATACTTTAAAAGGCCGTAAAGTTTTCGATTTTCGTCAAAAGTTAATAATAGAATTCTTATAAAAAAAAATTCTACATCACGCTCAATTTTTTTTTTTATTTTTTTACCACAAAGTACAACTTATAATGAACCTTCTGTTAAATTTTAAACGGAAATGTTTTGTTTAATAATTTTATCAAGGAGTACCTATCGAATAGAAATTAACAAAAATATTGAAAATTAAAATGTCTATTAATAGCTCAAAAATAACTAAAATATTTTTAAAATTTTACCACGTATAGAAAAGATGTTTTTAACTAAATCAAAACAAAAAAATAAAATTGAAAATAATATATTTCGTACATTTTTCCGTTTTCCTATGTTTCCATTGATTATGAAAATTAAAAAATGGCCACCTTAATTACCATCCAGATAAAATTTTCTTTCAGAAAAGTTGGCACATTTAAAAATCGGAGGAAGATTTCTGGTAAAAAGTTGTTTACAGATAAAAATATAATAATAATAATAAAAAACATCATTGTAAAACCAATAGACTTTTAATCACCTCATAATCTAAAAACGAGTTTCACGATTGCACAATATTATTATAACATACTTGAGAATTTAAATATTTTTATATTCTGAATGGAGCGAAGAAATTTATAGTTTTACAAAGATGTTAATTTTTTTTTTTTTTATCTGTGCGCAACTTTTCAACCAAAAGACTTATTCGGATTTCTACGGGTAGTATTTCTCCTGAAAGTAAATCGGCGTGGGGTGGTACTTTAGGGTGGTCATTTTTTGATTTTCTCAATAGTTTTCCTAGAAAATGTGAAAACCCGGGATAAAATATGGAAAAACCGGGGAAAACGTAGGAAAACAGGGAAAATCGGTACAACGTTAAACAAATTTTATTAATAAAAATGTATAAAGCCTTTTTAATTATTTTACTACAAAATGACATATATATCGTTGAAAAAGCATCACTATCAACTGAACTCCGCTCAGAATCGTTTTTTTCGTAAGCAATGGTTTATCGTTGTTTACAGATATACATTAAATTCTTGTCTATATCTTACCTTCCCAACTTCCCACCTATACTAATGGCTATACCTGTCCTCAGTTTCTTTCCTTTCTTTTTTTGTTTAGCATTTTGATGAGAGACTTGCAGATTACCTATAATACAAGATAACTGCTATTATAATCTTTTTTTATCGAAAACCGCAGCAAGTACACGCGATTGAAACGATTAAAATTATAGTATGGATACCTACCGAAAGATGGTTTTCATAGATTAACCGACTGTCACTGTACTTACTTTACTCGTGGAACAATGTTTCGATAATATTTTATATCTATAAAATATAAATGTCCCATGACCTGATTTGATTGCGTTACATACGAAAATCGTGTCATTGCTTATTGGAACGCCGCCGTCGTCATCGCTTTTAAGTCGTTTTAGAAAGCTGTATTTTTAACGGATATTATAAAGTATTGTAAAAGGCGTATATGTTATAAAAGTAAATTCCCTAGGTAGTAAATCATTTAAATAAAAATTGTAAAAAAAATCGTACCATTTGTACTTATTTGTTTAGATGTTATGTATTATACATCACGCCGAATTATATTAAATCGTAAAATTTTTATTATTCATGCACATCGTACGTTAACACATAAAACGAAGAAAAATTGTCTATCCCGTGTTTTTTAAATTTTTTCATAATTCACCGATTATTTCACAATATTACCTATACCACTGATTATAAACCATACTTATTATAATACTATAATATAATATTATAATACTAAAAAAAACTTCACCGAATAATATTATAATTTATTATTTTTATACGGGATGATATTATCGTAATAATGATTATATAATAAATAATAATAATAGGTACAGTAATATTATACGAAAAAAAACCTATTGAACAGCTTACAATATCAACATAAAAAAAAAAAAAACAACCATATAATTATAGTGGTAATAAATTATTTCACTATCGATTATAATTTATAATAATAATACAAAATAGTTAAATTCTGTGTTAAATCTTTTGAATCCGTTAACAAATAATTAACTATTTCGGTGTTTGAATTTTTAGAGGTTGCTACCCAGAAATGTAGTACAACCCGCGGTTAATAATCAGTGGTGTTTCCATAGGGTATACTCTCAACATTTTGCTGACAAATCACGGATATATTGCGTAGTCAAAATAGTCAAACAGTAAAAAAAAAAAAAAGAAACATTAACATAAACCAAATTTGTCATTATATATTATTATCATAGTCCGCTTACACCTTCTTATACCACTAAAATATAAAATACCCCAAGTAAGGCACGTAGAATGTTACGGTATACTTTCTAAAATATTTATGGGAACTGCTAATATTATATAGACCTTTTTATTTTCCTACATTATGGACTACTGCATCAAAAGAGAGCAATTAAGTTTTATTACCTTTTATTATTATATAAATGTGTAATATCCGATTACAAGAAATGAAGAAACGTAGAAAATAAAATTGAATGGAAAACAAATTTAAATTTAAATTAAATAAATAAAAACTTGTACCCACGCTTAGAAGAAAACGTTCGTTAAACAACTGAAGAAAATACGGTCGAACCCGTTTATTTAATAGAATATACAGAATGTTCCATGGACATCTAACAAATTTAAGAACTTTTGTTCTGTTCAAGCATGTTTAAGATTATCTATTTTGAAATAATTACTAGGGCCTTTGCCCTTTGTGCTATTGTTCTTATATTTAATATATTGTTTTATATTGGCAATTTAAGATAGATTGAAGTTTACGATATTTTAAATCGTTTTCACTGTTACTATTAAATAATACTAATTTATTCATCAATAATTTATCAAAAAAAAAAAAAGTAATAAATATTTTTTTTTTAACTAAAAAAATTATAGAAAATTAACGATTCATCAGTCAATATTTTTATCGGTGGGAAATTTTAAGGGGTGGGCTGAATAAACTAACTAAATAATATAAATGTTACACGCCAAACACGATTTCAGAATAAACTAGTTTATCCTTGGCCAAACTAGTTTGGCTGAAGTCTGTTAGGACAAAGGTTACAATACTATTGAGAACGTTCGACCTTTTTTAACGTACAATTGAGAACGCTTAAAATAGAACAATAAAATAGCCGCTGATCCAAAAAAAAAAAAAAATACAATGTTGTGCAATGTTGCCGAACTATATTTAAGTCGAAAATCATATAAAAATTATGAAAAACTTATGCAAGTTTTATAATAAAGCAATATTGTGGGAGTTTAAAACAATTCAACTTCCACCATGTTCAGTGGATGTAAGTTATTTTCCATTTTATTTAAGTATTAACGTAAAATATTTAGAACATAAAACGCATAATATGCGAAACCACGTACTGAGTAATGCATTAATGAGTAATATTTTAATTATTCATTGCAAACAGTTCGTTATCGTTGTATTTATATAGATTATCATTATTGATGGATTCAGTAATATGCCATCTCAAACAATAATAGGTAATCATTAAACTCAATTACGATACAAGAAATATATATATTTTTGATTGGTTAAATTTTTAAATTACTACATATTTGGTAATTTTGGGTGGAATTATAAAAACCGAACGCTCTCAATCGTATTTCTACCAGGACAAACTAGATTATACTAGGATAAACTGATTGAGACTGTCGATGTTAGTGTATAGTTTTAAGATGTAAGATGTTCATAATTATTAATCATTTTAATCATATCTCAATCATAAAATGTATTATATACACTTGTATAAGGACAATCGTTTAGACTGATAGATGGACGAATACATCTGCAGTAATATTTATACTGCAAAATTATTTCTATAATAGTTATTACTATAGTAATGCAATATGTTGTGTCACATTAATCACAACTATTACTATTGTTATTAGAAATGTCTATTTTCTACATTATATTATTATACTACATCGGTCATCATAGTGTATGTCATAACTGTACGTACCTATAATATCCATTATTCTGTATTATATTTTAATGATATCGACAGTCTTAATCAGTTTAGTATAGGTTATAGTTCGTCCCACTACCCCACTAACTTACCAACTTACTATTATATCGTATAATACCATACTATAAGTATTCATAAAATAAATTATGATTTGATCTAACATTATATACTCTCAATAGTCGATAATCTCAATGAGTTTAGCCTATAGGTTATACTAATTTGACCTGAAATATAAATTTTAAACTAGTTTATCTTGATATCGAGTTTGGCTTGTAACATATATAATCAAAAAAACAATGAATCATTGCAATAAAAATAAGAAAAAAAAAAAAAAAAACATTCTTAATGGAGTAGAATTATTTGTAGTTTATTGCTCTTGTAGCCAAATGAAGTAACACCAACAAAAATAAAACCATTATCTACATTTGTTGTCAATTTCATTGGCAACTTAAACATTTTTTTAAAAAAATCCGCATCTTAAGTAAGGCATGCAAAAATTGGACTTAGTTTACTATCCCAAATAGTGTTTTGGAGTAAAAACATGTATCTTATTAAAACTAATTGCTTCTTTCTTCAGAATCTAAAATATCGGTGACGTGGTCCATGCCAATTTAATTAACCGTGGCATCTGCGTAACCTCGGTAACCCAGAAACAGTGGTAGCGCGAGTGTAATTATTTGAGTTTATTCATTCTAATTTTTTTTCTTTTAAGGCTGGTTCAGCTATGGATGGGCCATAGGCAGGAGAGATACTCGAAGAATAATTAGCAGCGTAAATATTTTGCAAAAGGCGTTAAGGAAATTAGCCGGATTTATTAAAGATAACAATGCAATATATTGGAAACGTAGGGTCTTTTATTAATAAATAGGTGGATAATGCAAATATTTCTTTGTTGTCTCGCACGTCAGGGGCGTATATAGGATTTTCTTGAGGAAGGGGATATAAAATTTTTTTTTGTGTTGATGCAACCTTTTGTTAGTTACTCCATGTAAGGCTAGGTAACAATAAAAACAATAATATTGATTATAATTTTACTCTGTTTTATTAATTTATAAAATAAATTCTAGTTTTCTGTTTTTTAAGCACAACTCATCAATTACTTCATCTGTTGTAATTTCGACTTCTCTGTGACAAGAAAGCATAGCCAACCCATTAATTCTAGTCTATAATAACAAAACACATACATTTTTAAACAGTTAGTATAAATATTTTTATTGAAAATTGAAAGATATAATTACAAACTATTTACCTCTTTCATACTATTCCTGAGGTAAGACTTTGCGAGTGTGTAATATGCGATGTACAACGACCGGAATGATTAGAAAATAATATTTATTTTAAAATTTACGAATTCCTTATCGTCTTCTGTTCGCTGTCGCAATTAGTTTCGTGTTCTACGTATATAACAGTATAATAGCAGTGAGCTATCTTTATTCTTTATTAGGTACTAGCGGGTTTTACCCGGCTTCTCCCGAATATGGTCCTATTTTAATTTTGTTTTTATTATTGGGTAATATCATTCGCAGCCCACAGGATAACAACATTATAAATAGCATCAGTACTGCAGCCATGTAGCCATGTTTATACCTAAATTAAAAAAAAGTGCAAGGGAGGGGATCTTTCCCCTATATCCCCCCCCCATAAATACGTCACTGTTGCACGTGATACCAATTTTCGCTGTCACTGCCCAGAAATAATGATAAAAAACAAATTTCAATTTTTGTATTTTAAAATAAAAAATCATAGTTGAACATCCCTTAAAGCATTGAATATAAAATGTAGACTTCAGCAACCTTTCCCAATGTATTGAAGATCAACCACACCAAATTTGAACAAGGTCGGAATAAAATCGTACATTTTTTTAAAGAACAAACATCTATCCTATGTATCTAATTTAAATACAAGTGTATTTGAGAATTGTGTTAACCGTGTACCTTCTTCGAAATAACGATTATAAATGTTGTTTAATATTTCTCCAGCTCGATAAAACACATCTTAACGAGTTCCATTATTAGCGTAGAGTTACTTAATTGGTTATAATTTTGAACGAATTTATTGCCCAATGATAATGATTTACAAGCGAAAATTTGCAACAAAAAAATAAGACTTCGAGTGAATTCATTATTTAATCGAAAAATAAGATGAGTGGTCCTAAAAATCATTCTACATATTATGTTATCCATACGATTTATACGATTACTGCTAAAACATATTACAGTGAAACTTCTATATAACGAACTTCCATTTAACGAAATTTTCTGTTTAACGAAATACTTTTAAGAACTATGACCTTCATTGTTAATTACACATTCAATTACACGTTTTATCTCCAAATAACGAATCTGATGTTTCTATACAACAAAATAATTATTCGATAAAAACCAGTTTTTGTAAATTTTGTCACTATCAAATTGATAGTTTATATCATATTTCTAAAATTGTACATGAACAATGTACCCGATAAAGATAAGACACCGAAGGTAGGCAAACTGATTAATTTTACTGCAGAACTTCAGTTCCAATATTGATGCAAACGAGTATGAATTTTCTTTCGTTTTCTCTTCGTCCGTACAAAAAAAAGTGTCAAAACGTAAATGTTTATCTATCGCCGATAAATTTGAAATTTTAAACGAAGTCGATAAAGGTGTTAAAAAAAAGATATTGCCGCAAAATATAGCATTCCAACAAGTTCTCTATCAACCATTTTAAAAAACCGTGAAAGCATAACCAAGCAAATGCAAAATTCTTCTCTCCTCAGCAATAGAAAACGAATGAAAATTTGTGTCTATGAAAAAGTTGACAACGCTGTTCTTAAATGGATGACTTGTATACGAAATAACAATCTGCCTATATCAGGTTCGTTAATCAAAGAAAAAGCAATTTATTTTGCTCAGAAATTTGGTTTTATCGATTTTCGTGTAAGCTTTGGATGGTTAGATAAATTTAAATCGAAACATAATGTTGTGTTTAAAGTTATTTGTGGTGAGAGTGCTGATGTTCAAGAAAATAACTGTGATGCATGGAAATTAAATATTTTACCAAAATTAATTGAAAAATTCAATCCAAAAGATATTTTTAACGCTGATGAGACAGGTTTATTTTTTAAATGTTTATCAAACAAAACGTTAACTTTTAAAAATGATAAATATTTCGGAGGTAAGCATATTTCGGAGGTAAAGAGCGATTTACTTTGATGGTGTGTTCTAATATGTCTGGAACTGAAAAATAAAAACTTCTAATTATTGGAAAAAGCAAAAATCCAAGGTGTTTCAAAGGCATAAAATCATTTGAAACAAATTACGATTTTAATAAAAAAAGAGTGGATGACATCATTCATTTTTGAAAAGTGGTTACTAGATATTGATCAAAAAATGAATCAAGAAAATCGAAAAATAATTTTTTTGGTGGATAATTGTATTGCTCATCCTCGTACCTTATCTACAAATCTGTAATGCTTGCATATTTTCCCCCAAATACAACAAGTAAGCTCCAACCAATGGACCAAGGAATAATAAATAATCTTAAAGTGTATTATCGAAAACGTATTTTGAACAAAGTTATTTCATATCTTGAACAGAGAACAACAATTACTCTGCGAGATTGTATTTCTGAGGTATCGAAAGCTTGGAGAAGTGATGTAACGTCTGAAACCATAAAAAAATGTTTCTTCAAAGCTGGATTAAAAAATGAAATTATTGAAATATCAGATGTGCATTGAGAATGGGAGTTAGTTCACTGCGATGGCGTTACTTTACAAGATTATTTGAAAATTGATGAAGATATCGCCGTATATGAATCACCTACTGAAGAAAGTATTGTAGAAGAGGTTAGAAAAAAAGAAAATCCTGATGAATTTGAAGAATAAGACGACAAAGAGGAACATGCAGTAGAACAATCCAAACTCACAGAAGAAGACATATTAAACGCTTTATCAGTGGTAAGAAATGGTTTTAGACAAGAAGCAAATGTTCCCGATGGAATTTTTTTTTAAAACTTGACGATATGGAAACTTTTTACGAAAGGAGGACAATTTTCAAAAAATAATAAGCAAACAAAACTTACAGATTATTTCTTTTAAATTATATCTAAGGTAAACAATTAAATTAAACTGTAATATGATGTTTGATGTTGTTTTTTACATACATACATAATTAAATTTAAAACGTAATTCTATTTAACGAATTCCTCTATATAACGAAATTTTTTGGCTGCTTATTCGAATTCGTTATATGGAAATTTTACTGTATTTTTATTATATACCTATGCGGTATTATAGTGCGTATAAATAAATACATATTTATATAGGCTTAAAAATTTGTGATTTTAAAAAGAACTATGTATTCTAAGGAGTTTAAGGTTAGGTTAGAAGTTAAAAGTAAAAACCGATAAAATATGTACATGTTATAATGCGGGTATAATTTTAAAAACTAAAAGGTTTCGTAACCGAAACAGAGTCAAGGACGATATGCAGGTTTTTTGTCTTAGTAGGTTCAACTATTGATATATTATTTTGTTTTGTTATTAAATATTAATTTAAATCTGAGCACTACAGTGATTATGGATGTCCAGTTAAGATCGCAGTCCTGTGTGGGTGTTTTCAGAGATCCGGACACCGTTCCTAAATGTTTTCAAAAGTAGAAAAACGTCAGAAAATTTAACGAACCAAGTAGAAAAAGTCATCAAATCCTAGCGATGGTTGGTATAGACAATACTATACGTTAACCTCAACTCGAAATGAGTCAAATACTAAAAGTAAAAAAAAAAACCATCCTAACAGTATAGTGTATGCGTGCGCATGTTTTATAAGTTTGAACACAAATTATAAACGGTGTTTTTATATTTCGAAAAGGGTAATTTGTACTTTCTATTTGCAAAACAAGTATGTAGGTACCCACTAGAATCTTCATGTTATTAAACCCTGGCCTAGATATTGAAATTATAATATTACATACTTGTGATAATTTTCTGATACTTCACTGCGTTTTTATTTTATTTTTTTTAAATTACATATTTTGAATTCTAGTTAACAATAAGGCAATTTTTAAAATAAATAAGACATTTTTTTTTTTTTTTTTTAGTAGGCCCACTATAAAACTTCTACTCATAGACAAAAATGGAAATTTATCCTAATTTTTGTATTGGCCTCCTATAAAGTTATCAATGATTATTCTTATTAATAATTAATAACTCAAATCGAACCAACAAATAAGGAGATAATTTTAAAAAATACAATTTTTATTTATCTGAATACAACAAGAGTTTTACTAAATAAAATTATAATTATTATACTCGTAACTTATAATATAATACGTATTGTCCGATATTATAAAATATTTTCTGAGTAAAAATTTCAATCATCTTATTTTTTATGACAACAAACTTATCAATAACAGCCGATGGATTTTTCATAAACGGTATTTTATATTAGGTACTTGTGCGGCGAGAGTAGTTCGGAATAAGTAATCGCCTCGGTAAATTAGGTGTAGCTAATTAATTTCAAATAGTTTAAAATATGGCACCAATAGGCATACTGATAACAGTGATAAAAATCAGTTAAATAATGTGTATTTTTATTGTATTTATGTACGATAAAATATATAAAAAAGGCTTATTCAAAACGCATTGGAATATATTTTAGATATTTAGCTTTCCACGTGACAGTGAATCACGATTTTTGTTTTTTTTTGTTTTAGGGAGTTGGTACTATTAAATAATTTAATTTGCCCGCAAATCAAATATCACTATTGAAACGCCACAGCATCCTTATAATTATCGTTTTATGACTCGTGACTCGAATTCGCGTGCAAAAAACAAAGTCGTAATATTCGCGTACATGCAGATGACAGCTGTTCGATTCAGTATAACGAGAAACAGAATCGAGTACAACGTCGCATCATACCTATTATTGCACACGGATCTAAACATATAGAAAATATCGAGTTGAACAGCAAAAATAAATAAATAAAACATCCACTTGTGCGTTGTGGCTGTAACAAAAATAACTGTGAATGACCGGTTTATTTATGCGCGTTAAACGAATAAAATGTGTATAATAAGCGGATTCGATGCGAAAAATCTGTCCACGAACTTGTGTTTTCGGTTTTAGGCCAAGCGTCGAATATTGTTTGCGTTCATTTAAATATGCTATTTCCAAGGCTATTGGATATGCAGACGAGAACAAGCACATACAAAGATATAATAAAGTTATATTTTATATTATTTTCGTGCACAAACACGACTAGTCATAATAATAACGTAGCCTGCGGACATTAAAAAGAGTTGTTCACATATGATGTATAATAATATTTATACATTATACGCGCGGTAAAGGTAAACAAGGATCGACGGAGTACTAGAAAAACAATATTGTTTTTGTTTTCGTTTGTAATTTTCAGTACACGAGTAGAACTAAAAACTCCTGCAGGTGACACCAAATGTGTGTAATAATAACGTACAATTTCCTGTATGCGTTTTATAGAGTTTTGCCGAATAAATAATTATAGTTTGTGCGGTTTATTTTTTGACGATTGTTATTATTGGTTTTACAGTATCGGTATGCAATTTTTTACTTAGTTTTCCTTCCGTCCGGTGACACATGTATGACCAGCAGTCTCGCGCTCCTCCGTAATCAAAAGTTTTATAATCATAGATATCATACGATGAAGTTTCGTGTACAACGTTTAGGATCAATAAAAATATTGCGGTGCGTTGGTAAGGTCAATATTTTTTTTTCCAAATACTTTTTAATCGTAAAACACGAATAAACCGCACCAAGATATTTTATTTATCATAGGTACACGTATTAAATGATAAATACGATATTATAAAGTGTATTGAAATGAAGTATATAATACAGTTTTGTATTAAAAAAGGCATATAACTGTGTAATGTGTATATATCTTATATAAGTACATAAAAATCACGCATACGACGAGTTTAGGTGCGATGCATTCTGAAACTACTCAACCGATTTTGATAAGATCGGTAATGCTCAATGTATGTGGTTTAGTCCAACTTAAAAGATAAGATAGTCTTCAATCTTCCATTCTAAATCCCGTAAATTGTATAAGGGTTTTCAGGTAGTTTTGATACGAATATCTAATTGTTTATGTAAATTTATTTTTATTTTTTTTTTTTTTTTTGTTTATTCGTAAGTTAGGTACCTTGGTAATACAGATGATAATTTGGTTGTCACGGACAAGAAAACTACTATTATTATTTACACTATTATATCTAGCAATAGCAAAGCATTGTCGGGTCAGCAGTACATGAACAATAGTGGTAAGGTAGCGAAAACGAAAAAAAAAAAAACAAAGATTCAAAGCAATTCGATAAATTACGAACGTTTTCGGGGACGTTTTCTCGTTTCCCTCTCTACTCTCTGAATCTAAAATATTAGTGTAATCAATAATGTTTTATAGTGTATTTATTAGGTATTAAATATGCAAAGTATTTTATTAATTATAAATATATTACAAAATTAAACAATAAATCATTATAATTAATTATAATATAACGGAACTCTAGTTTCGTCTGTAACTGTATGTCAAGGGATTTATTCGAAAAAAAACTTATATAACACAATTTTAAATTTTTTGAAAATTTACATCACTAGTTGTAAATATTTAAGAAGTTAGTATTTTATAGATTTTTTTTATAAAAAAAAAAATCAGTGATTTTCATTTTGTTTAGTTCGTAAAAGTCATTGGTAGTTTGTACATAGAATAGTGTACAAATAATTTGATATACGCGGTATTGTTTTAAACTAAAATTTATTATTCTTAGTGAACCCGTGTGGAGCGTTTGGTTTTATAACGTTAATAATATGTTCACAACTAGATAGAGTAACTACACGCAAAGTGTTCCGAATTTTTAGTTGATGTTCGAAGTAAAAACTAGAGGTCTCTTTAGTAATAATGCGTGGGTATAATAAAACGCATAATTATGAAATAATGTAGCCAATAATTAGGGAAATTAGTATACGAGACAAAAAAGAACGAACAGAGAAAAATTCAAAATTAAAGTTTCTCTGTTAATATTGTTATACATGCATCGAATACAGATATCATATAAATGACAATATTTCAGAACACATCTCTAAAAACAATTATTTTTAGAGAACTGAATTCATTTCGATATTCTCGCTGTGAAACGGATTATGTGACAATATTATAACTATTAAAACCTATCGAAAACTATTTATAAAATATTAGCTATGTATAAAATCATAATATTATGATTATAGTCTATACTCTCTACGTTTATTGTACCGTAATTTATTTTAAATAGAAATTACACACCGCTCGTACTTTCATAGTAATTATACCAAAGGTTAAATTACATACATTATTTATTATAACAATAATTGTTATGATGTATGAACATCTACGTTGTTAGCGACACTCTGCAGTAACAAAGGAAACGTTAAATTATTTGGCTGCTTATAAAACATTGTTTTTAAAACTGGAAATACATTCGTGAATTTGACAATATTAAAATAAGTATGCATAATATTATTATTTTAGTCGCCCAATGTTAATCTTGTGTTAAAACAAAAAACCATATTTACAAATATGTAGTAGGTTCACCTATAGAAAGCGCCGTAATAATACTGCTGTGTAATGATGACGCTTACAAATTCAGCTCACTGATGGACTACTGTTGTGAGCGGGTAGTTGGGAAAGTATGGTACAAGGTAATTTAGTTTACATACTGATAAATCATTATAAATGAATAACGACTTTGAGCGGAATAGTATTAATCTTGTATTTTTCACTTGTTGCAAAAGAAACCCAGAAATAAGCAAAAATCAATAAGTAGCCTAGAAGTTAATCGCCGAAAAAAAATTCCACATATTTTGAAAAA